CTGGAGGTACTTCAGATAAGATTCAGGGGCCTCCAAGGGCAAGATTTTCATAAACTAATTCAAACATGTGAAATCAAATGCACTGGGTATTGCCTCTCCACATCCCGTAAGTGTGATTAACTTATCGTAACTGTGTTATATTGTTTGCTTTATTACTATATTACTAGTGAACACCATGGTCATAATCAACCTGAGTCAACAACAATTCAACAGAGTACCTTGTTTATATTTTATCAACCCTCAAAATGGAAGTTGATATTTGTAAAACTAATATGTTAACTGGTATGCACACCTTTATCCCTGCTGTTATTCTGTTTTGCTCTTCAATAAAACTACTAATGTCTGGAAAAGAATCCACTTATACTTAAACATTTGAATCAAATCACTAATATTGCATTTAAATTTGTATTAAGTAAAAGGTCAAATAATCTCAAGACTACAGCTACTTTAACAGAAATAATCAAAACAACTACTCTGCATACATCTATTACTGCTTCATTCATTTATGCAACTTTTAGGTATATAACCTATAGTGATATTTCACAAGTAGAATACCACACAAAATCAAAATACAATGTGTATAAATTTTTGTGTGTACGTATATCCCACACATGAGGTAGCTTTGAAATGTGCGTATGACAGTTTTCAGCACAAAACAGATGCTAAATAAACAGTGACTGAATATTCAACTCCTGCTTTATCAATATACATGCCGACACTGAAATACTCATTTAGTTAGAAGCAAATCTATGAGTTAATATAACCCCTGACATTAGCAAGCATATAAAGTAGCAGGTGTGGAATATGGTTATATGAACAAGGGCACACACATACATATAATAGAGATGGGTCCTTAAATTCTTAATGTATACACTGGGCCCTAATTTCTAATGTTTCAACTCAGATGCTTGCTTCCCACTCACAGCTACCTTCCCTGTTTCCACTTTTACTTCCAGCTAAGTAGGAAGGAAACTTAAGAGTAGGGGGCTGGGGTGGAGGGCATAATTACTGACGAGAGAGGACTGTGGGAATTGAGTCCATGGATACCAGTCGCTGAGGAAGGGAACATGTCCTGGCCGAATAAGGCAGCCAAGATGGGAAATCCAAACATATGTGAGCTAGGGTCTGATGGCAATGTTAAAAAGAGAAAGGAGAGTCCTGAAGAGCTGAAAAAATGTGAAATGAGTGGTAGTCAGGGGCATTTCTTGAGGTCCTTTGATAGGATGCAGGGAGGCCTCTTTCCCTGAGATCTGGGGGGAGGAAGCAAAAAGAAGGGCAAGTGCCTTTCTTTAGAGGCTTATCAGTATGGGGCTTTTATTTTTTTATTTATTTTTTTAAAATTTATTTTATTGAACTATAGTTGATTTACAATGTTGTGTTAATTTCTGCTGTACAGCACAGTGATTCAGTTATACGTATATATACATTCTTTTTCATATTCTTTTCCATTATGGCTTATCACAGGATATTGAATATACTTCCCTGTGCTATATGGTAGGACCTTGTTGTTTATCCATTCTATATATAATAGTTTGCATCTGCTAATCCAGTATGGGGCTTTTAAAGCACCATCTGTAAGCAGACAACTTAGAAAGACAGTGAGGTGGTCCTGGAGAAGACGAGTTCAAGAACCTGTTCCATCACTTACCCACTGCATGGTTTTAGGAAATTTCTAAGCCTCAGGTTCCACACTGAAAAAACCTCCAAGAGTCTTTTTGTAAAGATTGGGTATAGTCACATTTATAGGGCTTAAGTGTGGTACACAGTGGATGCATAACAAATCCTAGTTTTCTACGCTATTTGAAAGCTTTTCTGTAGCATTCTGGTCCTCATGGGACTCATTAATGGTGTGCTTTGGACACATCTCTAGTACTCTCCAGGTGTTTAGGCCATCTCCTCTCTAGCCTCCCTATCTCATTACTTTTTTAAGTTGGCATAGATTCAGATATGAATAGATCCCTCAAATATAATCTTTTTGATACCTTGCCTTGCATAATGGTCAACTGAAAGAATGTATAGACAACACACAGTAGAATTAAAAGATTAAATAGAATTTAATTAAAGATAATAAATAGATTATTTGAATATCAAAGGGCAATATATCTGAGAGAAGTGATTAAAATGAAAACAGCCAAGATAGCAGAAGAAAAGACGTTAGAGAATTGGGCAATATAAAAGTTTTGATGATGAGTTTACAATTCTAAAAATGTTGCCTTCTTGGAAAAACAGTGACTTTTGAAAGATATCTTCATCTATATATCTTAAATATCTATAAAGTCTGTCTGTCTATCTATCTATCTGAAAGAGAGATGAGGAATGCAGGATCGGAAATACTGTGGGATCTCTCACACGCATCAACTAGTCTCTTGGGGCTATATTGAGTCTTCCTATCAACCTCCCTAAGGGGATTCTGTGAATTATGTAGCATCTGCAGGAACATTTACATGTTCTTTTGAAAGACAGCAAGGTATTCCATCGTCCTATCATGAAATAATTTTAAGACATTTACAAATATTTAAATGAGAAGGTATTAATGTAGTATTCTCTAATGAGTATATTTGGCATATGTATTAAATATTTTTATTCTTCTTGTCAGTCATATTTCCTTGTGGCCCTTCAACAATTCAGGTCAAATTATGAGGCCAGGTTGCCAAGAAATACGATTACAAGAAGACATGTACATGGTGGCTAGAAAAAAAAATAAGTCCACAAAAGAAAGAAGGAGGAGGTTATGACAGAGTGACAGAGAGACTCCATCACCAAGAAAAGGAAAGGAGGAATCTTTTCATAAACTAATGGAGAAAGTGGAAGAGAGAAAGATAGCAGAGGTCAGTGTCTTTCTTATTCCCCAGACTCCATGGGTTGAAGGAAGAAGGAGGAGAACCTGAAAGTCTAAACATTCACCCAAGAGAGTGAGTTTACTTAAAAAAGACTGTTTTAAACTACAAGAGACTAATACATTTTTAATTATCAAGCTTACTGTTTTTTCCTGTTACATAGTAGAAAAAAATTTTGACCAATTAAAGAAAATTAAGAAGCCACAAATTATTTCACAGTTTATTTTAATGTTAAAATATTGACCTAATATGCTTTTATAACACTCTTATAGCTATGCAGCTGCCTTGAAAATTCCATTTCCTGGAAAGTTCCATTAATCAGCCTTGTGTGTTCCCACACCAGGAATTCTAAGCCCTACAACTGGTACAAAGTTTACAAACACGTATTTTCTTGGCGCCTACCTAAATTTGTGTTTTCCAATTCCAGCCAAATACAATACCTTTTCTATTTGAATTTTGTCAGTTCCACCTTCCTTTCCCTCCAGCAGTTATTTCAACCCACTGTGCCACTCTTCAAATCTCTTACTATATCTCCTTTTCTCAGCAGATGAAAATATAAATCCAACTGCTCTTAATTCCAAAGCCCCTCTACTACCTACAATTTATCTACATTCACATTTGTTTTAGCTTACCTCCACCTGTTCAAAAGTAGAAATGCCCCTGCTGTTCATAGCTCTTCCTTCTAACTCAACCCTGATACCAGTCCTCCCAGAGCCTTGGCCCATCGGTTAAACCCTATGTCCTTTATAGCTTTAACTCTTTCTCAACCCTGGCTTCTTCCTTCTGCTTATATATATGCTCAAGTCTCTTCCACATTAAAATACTGACTTCCTTGAGCCTGCAGTCAAGTTTTACTAAACAGCATGTCTCTCCTTCTCATCATAGCCAGAGTATTCATAAGGGAATTTTACATGAGATGACATTATGTTCTTAATTTTTCTTATTTCATACCACAAGCATGAAGAGATGATCAGGAAAGATGAGAACTCTAACAGGTAAATGATAGTGTTCAGCTTCAGCATTAATAAAAAATAGAAAATTTGCAATGATGATAAGATACAATTTTCCCACAATGAGACTGCTGGAAATTAAGGAGAATGCTGATACTCAGGGCTTACAAGGTTCAAGAAAATAAGTAGTTATGTCTGTAATATACTCCTGATGGCAGCATGAAGTGCAATAGGATAACCATTCAGGAGAATAAATTGGTTACTTATATAAAAAACCTTAACATATGTGTTCCTTTTAGCCCTGAAATTGAACTTTATAAAATGGATCACCGTAGTTGTAGCAGTAGTTGTAATTTTAGTAAAAGTAGTAAAAATAGTTGAAAAGTTAAAATTATTAATGTTCAACATTACATTTAAAATGTGTTTCAGAAAACTTATAATGAGTTGATTTTTATTTCAGACCCACATTATTTGGTCATTTAATACAAAGTGATCAAACATTTCACACAACTGAATTTAAAAACATGCATCTTCAATATGACACGAAAAAAGGAACAAGCTTGGTTGGAGCCAAAATTTAATCTAAATACGCTATTTATATAGAAAAGGGGCAAAGGAAACAAAATTAGAACACTGGAATTTTTATAAACTTTGAGGAATAAACATTGGCATATTTGAGTGATATCATAAGAATTGTACAAATTTACTGACTTACATATTCAGGTTTCCAGATAAAATTAGAAGAACTTGACTTGGTATACAGATTCCTAATTTCTGATCCTGGAGTTTAGAGTTGTGATTTTGGCCATGATACTTCATCTCTTACATGTATGCTTTCTCTTTAATAAAATGATGTTGTTGAACTAACAGATCCCTGAAGTGTCCACTACCTCTAAAATGCTTGGACTCTATAATAGAATAAGTGTGATTAATAATTACAAAATGGGCTTCCCTGGTGGCACAGTGGTTAGGAATCCACCTGCCAATGCAGGGGACACGGGTTCAAGCCCTGGCCCGGGCAGATCCCACATGCCGTGGAGCAGCTAAGCCCGTGCACCACAACTACCGAAGCCCGTGCACTGTGCTCCACAATAAGAGAAGCCACTGCAATGAGAAGCCCGCACACCGCAACGAAGACCCAACGCAGCCAAAAATAAATAAATTTTTAAAAATTACAAAATAACATATGTAAAGTAAAAGAAAAACAACTTACCTATTAGTATGATATCGATTAAAACATCTTCTTCTTCGGTGGGATTTTGGAAAGGTATAAGAACAGATGATTGAAGACGAAGGTATGTGGTCATTCTTTCTATTTCTAGAGGCTGGGGGAATAGTCCTATTCCAGAGATGTAGCATATCCATTCTTTAAACTATATAAAGATAAACATCCATAACATATATGTACTAATTACATACTTTTTATTTGTACCACTTAATAAATATAGTACACATAAAAATTTTGGCAGATAAGTTTTTTGTTAATATTTAACATGCACTGTTTTTATCTTTCCTTCCTTTTCCAAATTCCTTTTGATTTTATTGAAAAATCAATGTGTTTTTACACTGAAAAAAAGGCAAAAGGCCAATGTTCAAATATTAAACATATTTCAATACATACAAGCTTACTGATAACAACATAAAAGAGAAAATTTAATGAAAGCCATGCATTTCTGCTCAAGATTTAAAAAAAAATCAATTTGTCTAACAAACTGGGTACTAAATGCTCTATGAAGTTTCCAAAATATTTATCACAGGAAGGCAAAGAAGGTGAGACACAGATTGCAGTCCCATTAAAAAGAAGTGTATACAACTTATTGCCATATTATTTACGCCCATCATCTAGTACAGTGTATGTTTTATCACATGACGTGAAAAAATGGCTCAAAAATTATATGAAGAAGATTGAATGTGGCCATTGTTCTTATCCGTGTTTCATAAGCCTGCAAAGCTCTGTTTGAAAATGTTCCGTTTGTATTCATTTGGAATAAAAGTCCCTTGAGACTCTGTTCTACACCGAACACTTTGCTAATGTTACCGATGAATGACGAGGTCATCAACCAAAAACCAGCGAACAATGTCCTGGTTTATCACCTCTCAAACTACATAGATGTTTCCAAGCTTAAGTTCCAATAAAAAGAGGGAAACTTGCTTTGTTTCCAAAGTAGGATGGGTGGTGACAGGAAATTTATAAAATTCTATCTCAGTAAGTGAGGATGAAAAGGCAAGTTTTATCTGCATATGTCTTCAAATGACTGTATTACTTTTAGTTAGAGAGTCTACAAGCATAAATTCACTATATTTTCACTTATGATGTCTGAACTTGATCAAACGTAATTGACTGCCTGGAATCAAATGTCAGGGTTCAATTATAGTAACAACTGTTTTATGTAAATTACTTACTTTTTGGCTATTTTATAAAATAAATCGTGGATGACAGAAATTAGGTTAATTTAAACCACTGGAAATAAGCCAAACTACAAAAACAAGAAGGTCATGTTTTCATGTTTTGCCAAGTGGCCTGGAATACTGGAGGTTCTAAGTTAAACCATTTCCTACCATTCCTAGACACTAGTATCCAACAATTACCCTGGCATTGCTTACATTATCCACCTGGGTTCACAGAGGGAAATTAAAAAGTACCCCAGGGAACATATGCATTAAAAAAAAGGTAACATTTTTAGTCCATCTTCATCTCAAACTTCTTTGAAAGGAGACAGAGTAAAACAATTAAAGATCCAATCTCAATGTTTCTGAAAGAAGAAACAAGTGGAGGTAAAAGATAGTAGATCTGGCTTGCACACTGAGTAGAGCTCAAGGGCATTTGAGCTTGCTAAGAATCAAGAGAGTCTGCCATAGACACAGGCTGCAAGGACCATAGACACGTGCTGGGTAATAAAATCACTCTGATTTTATCTCTTTTTCCTTTATTTTCACTGTTCTGACCTTTAGATGCAGTGAGTCCCACATCAAGTATAAATGAAATAAATAATGGCAACTATTTGAAAATAAAAATGAAACGACTGAAAACCAAGAGAAGATCTCAGAACATAATGTTTGATATCAGAGAAGGCCTGTTTATCACATTTGCTGCTTACTATTGTTCCTCTTATCCTGTTATGCAGTAACAATCTCATTGAGAGATTCTGGTAGCATATTATGAGTTTATGATATTTGCAGTTGTGATGCCCTAACCAAATTAATCTCAGGATTCAAAATCTATACAAACAACTTTAGCCTAAAGTTAGATTTTTTACAATGCAGAGTTCTTCACATGGATACAAACTGGAAACAAATGAAACAAATAATAAACCATAGCCATTTCCTTAAGTTCAGCAAAGAGTCATATTCAGAAATAGTTAAAACTTATCCTACAAGCACTACCACACTAGATTTTTGATTAATCAGCTACTCAGTTGTGTGTGTTAGTTCAGATATATTTATCAGTGAAATCAAGAGAGGGACAGAAATCTGTGTGAGTTTTTCCCTAGTGGTTAACCTAATTGCAAACTTTCAGACTTAGAAAAGTAAGCCCTAAAATTTTCTTCTTAAAAATATCTTCTTTAGATGCCTACACATACATAATATATACTGCATTTTCAAAAGTTCATTCAATTAATACTTTGGGATAAACCAGTTTTGCCTGCAAAGAATGTCAACTAGATGAATTAAAAGAAGAGGAAGACCTGAATTATTCAGGGATAGAAAGGAAAAAAAAATTAAAGGCAAAAAGAAAAGGCAAGAAAACCCACAAAGGTTAGGGCAACACATTGAAAAGGTTGAAGCGGTCTGGACTCAGTAGCTAAAAGAATGAATTACTGATTTAAGTCTAACCAGAGATAAAGCCTTGGAGATTTGCTACAACTTGGAAGGAGAGGCTTAGAGTGACTGAAATTAAGCCCCAGTGTTAAAGTGATTGACAAAAAGGTTTGAGTGGATTACTTACTTGTTTGAGTTCTTTTGTATTTGATAAAGAATTTTGAGTTCAGCCTCTAGGCTAGGATTTTCTAAATCTATTAAGATGGAGAACTGATCACTATCCTGCTGATGTGCCAGACCACCTTGAGTAGATGTAACTTCCACCAGAAATCCAAGCAACTAAGTTATCTCCAAGAATTAAGATGAAAGGCCTGACCCTGCTATGAAGCAATGATTTAAAAGATGAGCTGTGTTAAAATTATTTTTGTGAAAGAAAATCTCTCTACTATACCTGCCCTTCTTTATGAGAAGGATTACTGGTTTGTCTGTTTTCTTTAATATCTTTGAAAGTCAAGCATACTTCCATAGTATTGCTTCAGGTCATGTATAAGTCAGTAATCACGTAAAAAATTTATTAGCCTCAAAAACTTTTTTCTAAATTACACATTTTGGGGGAAAAAGAGGGTACTTCAGTTACATACAGGCCTTGCACTGACACAGGAACCCCTGTATTATATTTGATTTCACGCCCTCCCAGATGGCAGGATTTTGTAAGCTCCCTGGTGTCCCATAGGATATAAAGTATATACCTCGATTTACTTTACTCCCGCATCAACACCTGAAGAAGTAAAAAATAATAATAACTGTAAAATTTATGAAAAATTTTCATTGGCAGTAAGAGAGTTATGCCTAGGCATTCTGTCAGTAGCTGTAAGAACAGTCATGAAGACGGGTTGAAGCCAGATGTCCTGGGTTCAGGTCTGAGTTCGACCTCCTACTAGCTGCCTGGTCTTAATTTCTGTGTGTCTCATATTCCTGATGCATATAATGGGGTTGGCCATACTTCTTCCATAGGACTCTGGACAATGAATTGAAATAATTCTTAGAATGGCATGTACCGAGTTTAGAGATACTTAAAAAATATTTTTTTTAAATTCTTATTATTCAGATGAAAACAGAGTAAAAAAAATAACACAGTACTTGCAAGATTACATTTTATACAGTTTTATATTTAAGTTCATGAAAATTTGAGTAAGAAAATCCAAGTCAGAAAATTAAATGCTAGCAATTTAGCATTTACATTAAAGTCCTTACATTTTAAATCTGGGTGTATATTCTCTTTCAGTCAAGTGATCTAAGGATTTAAAAATGCCTTCTTAAATGCCTGCACATACATAATGCATACTGTATTTTCAAAAGTTCATTTAAATAATAATTTACAATAAATGTGTTTTGCTTGCAAAGATGTCAAGTGGACAAATTAGATTTACTTGTGTATTGACTTTAAAATTTAATTAACTTGTCTTGGTCCAAGAATACTCTATTGTACCTGAGCACAGTGGAAGGTGACAGAAGTCTGATGACCAGCTCCTCCAAGAGCAGAAGGACGAAAGTGAACAGATATGTCTTTGGTGGAGTGAGGTGGTATGATCAGCTGTGTAAATTAAGAAACAAGAAAGAGAAACAAAAATCAATACTTTTGTTTGAGTCAGCATCTTTGTGCGCTAAGTGTATACCAGGTTGATGTTCATGTGATTAACGTGTTGCCTTATACACATTAACCATTCTCAGTATGCCTGCTTGGGGAATATTGGTGAAACAGCCCATAGTAAACAGTGTTTATTAGTGCTCACACAATGTTCTTCCCCCAGGCAATAACCACATCGACCAATAAAAGGAAATCAGGATGAATTTTTTAATCTGAGTTGGAATCCCCAATAATAGAAATGTACATTTTATTTAAAGAACCCATAGCTTATTATCCATCCCAAAATACATGTCAAACCACTGGGAACCTAACTTGCAGTGTTGGCGAGGTCAAAAGAAATGAACTGAGTCTAAGTGCAGATGTAAGACATGCTTCTTTGTTGTACAATGAAGTTTTTTCTTTGTCCTATTACATAGACCCTCAAAGTGTGACCTACTAGAATAACTTGAGTCTGAAATGTATTAATCTGAGTTACCTCTTTAGAGATTGTGAAAGAAGCTAGAAACTCCATCATAATATAATGAAGGCTTGAAGATCTTAAGTAATCAAAAAGCTACACTGTGAATAATGTAATATTTATTATCAACCCTTATAGAATGACAGAATGAGTGGCACATTTGAGAAGTCAATTATTTTTTCACTAATGTATTTTGCCAGATAACTTTTGAAAAAGGACACTTGCAATTTGGCAAAGTCATTCAATCTTTGTAGAATACAGCACTTGCTCTTCAATAAACTCTGAAAACGACCATGAAAAAAAAATACAAAATTTTAGAACAGAGTTACCTCCTTATTATACATGTGGCTTATCTACAGCAAATATTTTTTATCTCAGGCTGCATGTCCCTCTGATACTTCATTATCAGTTTTGACATTATCAGTTAATGCATATTTAAGGAGTTCAAATTAATATCAGAATTAACTTTAGCAAAGAAAAAAACCAGAAAAGTTGCAGTTCATATGTTCTTTCAATTTAGCAAATGTGACAAAAATATCTCTCTCCCTCCCCCCATACATATATAAAAGAAATCAACCATTTCATCGGAAAAATGTATAATACTATATTAACTTAGATTTTTAACTCTAGTTCTACCACTGACTAATCATGTGGTTTAAATATTTTAGCCTCTCTGGCCTCAAATTCCTTTTCTATAAATATATGTCAGAGGCATGTGGTGAAAATTGAGGTAGTGTATACAACCAAGCAATAACTCAATTCCTTTATTTCCACCTAAAATTTACTGAAAAATGCATCTCCCCTGGTTTCAAGGAAAAAAAGATAAACACGGTTGGATGGAATTTAACTGTAGCAAACCTACTGGTTTAGTGTAATGGGATATATAAATAATATGTTAAACATATCAGCTTTTGAAACTTAAAAACATTTTATTACAAGCAAGTGTCATCAGGAGTACCAATTCCCATGTTTGAGCTTACACTAGATCCTAGTTCAATAGGGAAAGATATTCTTGCGACAGTTAGGTAAACTGAAATTTGGACAGGATATTAGATGATGGAGGAGACTAATATGCTCTTAAGAAATATAATCTAAAGTATTTACTGTTAAAATAGCATCTACAATTTACCTTTAAGTTGAATAGTAAGAAATGTAAGAGAGAAAAGAGAGGAAAAATGTAACAAATTCTTACTATAAGAACCAAGATAGAAGGTATAAGTTTGTGCATTGTATTATTCTTTCCACTTCTGTATCTTTTTGAAATTTCTCATAATATATAGATGGAGGACAGTAAATTTTTAATATCATTATTTGCCTTGATAATCAATCTATGCTTACTTATTGAAGCATTTACATGTAATCATCAATATTTTAAAATCCTTACCTATGTAAACATGAATATTACACAACAAAACCAGGAATAAAGTTATATATACATATCTATATAAAGTATATACATATATATATAATATACTTTCCATTTATCATTACCATTAATGTATGTTCCTATTTGTTCTATAACATATAATAGTATTTTTCTCGCCTGTAAATTTATTTTTGAGTTGTTTCCAAATATTAAGTTAATTGCATATTCTGTGGTCAATAATATTTGATAAGTGTACAAAAGAATGAATGGACTAGAAAACCATGGTTGGAAATGTTAAAGCCGAGACCATCTTTTTCATTATGCAACGTTAAGATGGCATCTGTAATACAATGCATTTGTTTTCCCTTGGACCCCAGTTTACATTCTCTGTAAAAGTAGTGATACGAAGGATATGAAAACACCACTAATGAGTAATTTCTGTTAAATGTAAACTACAGCCTGAACATCATATTCTGTTTAATTTATGGAAAATATGGTGTTAAGTAATACAAACATACATGTATATTTTAAAATAATTTTTCTAAGATTGCACTATATACACCAATTTTAGCAATGTAATACTTAGCGATATCTGATTTGACACATCATGGCAGTTAAGAACTAATTTTATATCATATTAGTTGGCAACCAGTAAGTGACAAGAGACAGGTATTAAAATATAAATAAAGAAATCACATTGTAGATTCGTTAAACAATCATCAAACAGCAAATAGTAAAAGCCTTTTTCTAAATACCATGATTTACTGTGAGGTCCTCTGAAGAAAATAATCTATTGCAATTATCATTTCGAAGTTTACTTGAAAGCAGGGTTTTGGCATTCACTATACATATTTGGTATCGTATGCTTTGGAAATAGAGACAGGGATGCTGAACCTTCAGATCTTGTTTTGCTACTTGGGGGAAGATAAAGTGATTGAGGCCCATTGACTGGCTCTAGTCTCTCCCAGGAATGAAGGAATGAGAAAATGAGGTAGAGAAAAAGAGAGAGAGGCAGAGCTGTCAGCACTGTCTGTGGGGAGGGGGTGATGGGTAGGAACTAAGGAAAAGCTAAAAAGAACTGGCGTCCTGGGACCTGGACACATAGAATAACCATTGAGTCAAATCATATTCCTAAAATGCACCACTTTGGTGGGGACGTTGATAGCTGGGGAGACGCAAGAGGGAGGGTGGGTCTCCTTTGTGGACTCTTCTCACTCCTCTACACTTAAGGGTCAGTGAGGCTTGGGGTTTTCTACTTTTCTATATACACAGATCCCCCCCCCATATACTCCCCAAATTTCAGTTATCATTTTGGTGCAGATGATCCCCCAAGTCTTCATTTCTAGCTTAATATTCTACCCTGAATTTCAGAGCCACATAGCCAATTGCCTATGAATATTCCCTGAATTTATGTTCCTTTGAGATACTCTCCAAACTGTACATATCTTAAATCAGTGTTCTTAAAATGTGCTCTTTCTCCAGCTGCAGCAGCAGCAGCAGCAGCAGCAAGAGAACTTTTTAGAAAAGCAAATTCTCTGTGCCCCATGTACACTACCAAATGTAAAATAGATAGCTAGTGGGAAGCAGCTGCATAGCACAGGGAGATCAGCTCGGTGCTTTGTGACCACCTAGAGGGGTGGGATAAGGAGGGTGGGAGGGAGACTGAGGCAGGATGTATATAGGAAATCTCTGTACGTTTGGCTTAATTTTGCTGTGAACCTAAACTGCTCTAAACAATTGTCTCTTTAAAAATAAAAAAAGACCACTCCAATTAAAATCAGAAAAAAAATCATATTATTGGGAAACTATTGCAAAAACTGGTTACCAAAGTGGTCAGGAATAAAGCACAACCAATTTATTTAGGGTTCAGTGAAAATGAGCATGAATCTAGCATATATAATTTCAAAAATTTACATGAACATGATATTGATTTTCTTGATAAATTAAAATTGGCAATGCATATGTTATATTTTAAAATTTTAGCATTTGAAGCCTTATTAATAATTCAATTGCTAATACTCCATGGTGTCCCAAAATCATATTTGGAAAATGTTCTACTAGTGGTAGATTACTCGGCTTTCTGAATATACTTACCTGTGATCTGTCAATCTCCAGGACAAAATTATCAGGATTACTGTTTGTTGCTTGCAATTCTAAGGTTTCGTGTGTAGGATTATCTAAAGGAATGATCTGAGTGACAAACCTGGAAGGAAGAACAAAGGTAGTAAAGTTGTTCAATGATAATTTCACAAACTTGATGACTATTATGGGTTGAACTGCATCCCCCAAAAAGATATAGTAAAGTTCTAACACCCAGTACCTCAGAATGCGACCTTATTTGGAAACAGGGTCATTGCAGACGTAATTAGTTAAGTTGTGGTCACACTGGAGTAGAGTGGCCCTTAATCCAATATGACTGGTGTCCTTATGAGAAGATGATGTGAAGACACATGAGAAGGCCATACGAGAAAGGAGGTAGAGATTGGAATGATACATCTACAACTCAAGGAACACCAAAGATTGCTGGCAAGCACCAGAAGCCAGAAGAGCCAAGGAAGGATTCTCCCTTTTGGGTTTCAGAGGGAGCATGGTCCAGCTGAAACCCTGATTTCAAACTTCTAGCCATTCTAACAAGTGTGAAACAATATCTCAGTGTCTCCATATTGAAAGAGACCCCAACTACACAGAAAAATGTACGAAAATAGAGCCACACCAATGTATATCCTTAAGAATTTTGAGGACATTAGGTACAATTAAAGACCATGAAAACTTCAGAAGAGGAAAAAGACCCACAAGACTAGTTAGAAATACAGTAACTATCAAACATCTTTTAATATTATGCAACTTTAAATTATACACAGTATGACTTAGATAAAAAGTAGTTGTTTTAGAAAAATGTAAAGAACAACAAGAACTTGAAAGAAAAAAAGGCTAGCACTTTTAGGTAGAATGAAGAAAAACATGACTGTAAAATTGGTTGAGCCAAATATTTTCACAACACTGACTTATATTTATTAACAATTGTATATATATATATATAGTTTATAGTTTTATATATATATAGTTTTCACATATTGGTATATATTTAAAACAAGAAAAACTTAAATCTAGAAATAAATTTGTAAATAACTTGTAGCAGACACTGTCGGTGCTCCACCTAGTTTCCTGCCTCCATCCTCCAACTCCCGCATGCTTGCTGTTCATCTTCCACCTGAGACTTTCAGATGATTGCCTTGGGATCCTGAAGCCCTCAGCCCTAGAGCAGAAGTGGCTGGGAGTTTATAGCTCATCCAGAGGAAGCTTATACTGCCTAGTATGGGAGTTCAAAAGCCCAGAATCTTGGCATCGAGACAAGACAAACTCTGAGATGTGATTTATGCTCCAAAGCTTTCCACAGCAACAGACAAAGTCTGGGACTGTACCTGCAATCACATCCTTGCTTAGCTTCTTCCCTTTGCTTATTCTGCTTCCCTTGTTCTCTTACTAATTTTTCCTACTGGGATCACACCTCCTTAATAAATCACTTGCAGTGATGTTTTGGCTCAAGATCTGGCACTGGGAGACTTGAGCACTCTTTTGGTGTGCTGAGGGAGAGACATTAATGAGAAGGCACTGATTTGCCCACTGGTACACATACTCTTTAAAAGCAGGAAATGTGACTTGATTATCCCTATGCATCAGCGCCAAACTTGACCCCAGACATGTACTAGGAACTCAATCACCTAAATATAAAGGTCATATTTCAAGGGCATATGGTATTAACCAAATGACCAAGTATTCTCAATTGCCCAATGCTTACCCTCTGCTTTGCCTTGACCAAACTTTAGTCAGCTTTCTATCTTTCCCATAGGCCCCTGAATTCTGCTTGTCCCCAAGCCTGAGCAAGCACCAAAAAAGTAGAATGTGCCTCCCTTCTGGGCTTCTCTTGGGAATCAACTGACCACAGCAAAACCCTTTTTCCTATCAGTCCCCACTGGTCATTTTCCCTTCCTTGTCCAGCTTTCTCTCCAAAGATTCTGCTTATTTCTGCTTGCCCCTCCTTTAGCCTATAAAAGAAAAAGCTTGCTCGGTTTGATATTGAGTAGCTTGTAGATTTCTGAGAGGGGAATGTTCTCCGAATTGCAATAGTACCCCGCCAACTATTTCAATAGTCCCTTTTCCTCCCTTGCAATAATCATTTTGAATAAAAGCCTCTCCTTACTAAGTCCTGACTTGTTTTTCTTTTCACACAAGTTTTCCACAAGGTTGTTTAAATATCAAACCTCCCTGGAGAAGAAAATCAATTACTAAAAACATATTTATGTCTTATTTTAAAATACTAAATGCATTATAACAATATTCTTTTAGATAAACATTTTTTTCTTCCATGAAATAATTTTATCTATTAAATAGAACTTACTTTCCAAGGTCACAATGTATTTCTGTGTCTTTTAATGTATGCTGACAAAGAAAATCCAAGATTCAGTCTGTGTTCACAAAGCCTCTATAGTCACAATGCAGAGAGGAGACAAGCCCACGTTTCTAATGGTAATCTAGCAAAATAGGGTCTTGTATATACATTATGGTCTTAATTTTCATGCTTCACATTATAAAAATGTTTATCCTTTAAAATTTCACAAATATATTTATTTATTCATCATTCATTAAAATAAGAATTATTCTAACTCTGAAAGAGCATATAAACTAGCAAAAGACATTTTCATGGCGTAATGGAATGCATCGTACACACCAATACTAAGTACAGTCTTTATAACAATTGGATATTACTGTTAAAACAAAGAAAGTTGACTATTTTACTATAAACTGAGTTAATCGTGAGCATAGAGGCCATGTGTTTGTGTGTGTGTGTGAGAATACATAGTGCAAAGTTTTTCATAATTATGCCATAAGAACACTCGTCATTGCACTGTTAATATATGTGTGTATGTGATTTGCATTTAATTGAGAATATAAGATATAAATGAATTTTTATCATGAAAATTGAAAGTTTAACCCCTAGTCCTTACAGAATCATTTTCATTTGGTGCAACCCAGAAAAATATGGTTAACAAAAAGTGAAGTGAAAGAGAGTATATAGGGGCAATTTAGGAATTATTTAACTTGATATTCTAATAAATAATATCTTTGCATTAAAGAAAACAATGGTAATTCTAAATTAGTATATTTTACCAATGAATGGTATTAAACAAAGCTAAAACTATGAGCGAGTGTAATCTCAATGATTATACCATGCAAAGAAATAATTTTAAAGGTTAATTTCAAAGGATCAGCAATAAGTATAATGCCACACTCAAACCATACCTTTGTTCTCTATAGCCTGTAGTCGCTGGAGAATACCGTACAACACAGTTGAGAGAATCTAGTGGAAATAGTACAAGTTCCTTGAGTCCACTAACGGCAGCACTCGATAACTGCACATCTAAGTGAATAATTTTCTCTTCTGGATTAAAGAGACGTATTTCAATACAAACACTCTCCTAGAATTACATAAGAAATATAAAATTAGCTCTTAGCATCAGCATAGAGTCATTGTCCTATGGAAGCCATAAAACAATGGCCAAATGTATAAAAGTTTATTTTTCTCCTTGACCCACTACTGAATGTACCTCACTCTCTTTTAATCTCTTATATATTTTCTTCGTTTATCCTTGCTAAATGGTGACAATATTTTTTTCAACAACAAATGGTCCAAGAGATCCACCTAGCTAAATGCTAAGGAAACTGCAAAATTACATTTAAAATATATTTGTCTTCAGTACCATTATTATTATGAGGTCTGTCTGTCAATGTTTCTTCTTGCTGTGGTACTCAGATTTATCATCCGTAGAGGTTGCTAAAACATGGGTTACTGGCCCTCTTCCTCAAAGATTCTGATTCAGTACATCTGGGATGGGGCCCGAAAATTTATCTTTCTAAAAAGCTGTGGCTGCTTCTGCTGATTCCGAGGATACACTTTAAGTAGCTCTGTACATTAGCAGCAAATTCTAGAGAAAATATGAACTAAGAGGTCAAATTATGCTGATGACATGACTACCTTCCTGTTTAGATTCCTCCCTTCTGTAAGGTTTCTCCTGTCCTACATCCCGGGCTACATCCACTCAGCCATGGAAGGCACACTTCACATTCCAAGACATTTCCTGATTCTCATTCTGATCCATTCTGGCTAATGACTTATATCTTTTTTTTTTTTTTTTTTTTTTGCGGTACGTGGGCCTTTTTTTGTGTGTGCTACGCGGGCCTCTCACTCTTGTGGCCTCTCCCGTTGTGGAGCACAGGCTCCGGACGCGCAGGCTCAGTGGCCATGGCTCACGGGCCCAGCCGCTCCACGGCATGTGGGATCTTCCCAGACCGGGGCACGAACCCGTGTCCCTTGCACTGGCAGGAGGACTCTCAACCACTGCGCCACCAGGGAAGCCCACTTATATCTTTTTTCTAAAAATTTTCTTGAAGTATAGTTGATTTACAATGTTGTGTTAATTTCTGCTGTAAAGTAATTCAGTTATACATATATTATTTTTCATATTCTTTTCCATTATGGTTTATCACAGGATATTGAATATAGTTTCCTGTGCTATACAGTAGGACCTTGTTGTTCATCCATCCTGTATATAATATTTTGCATCTGCTAATCCCAAACTCCCAATCCATCCCTCTCCCATCCGTCCTCCCCTTGGCAACCACAAGTCTGTTCTCTGTGTAGTGACTTATATCTTACTCCATTACAGCCATGATCTCCACTACAGTAAAAGCCATTAGTTGAAGGAAATGTGTAAAAGGTGATTAAATAGACAGGACATATCTCAATCTTAACAAAGACCAATTGTCTATAATGTCTTAACCTAATTAAATGGCGAATGTTGGACATTTTAGTCATAATTTAAAATTTGGTAATGGATGTACTTTGGGACATGGAGCTATTTTGAAATTTATCAAATCACATTAAAGGAGCTGGTGGGGAGAGGTGGTGATGGGGAGAGAGTTATTCACACAACGTATCTTCAAGATAGACATTACAGCTTTGTCCATGAACAAGCATTTGCTTGATTACCTCTGTATAAATAAATGAGTGGATAAGTATTATATTTTAGGGGGATGGAAAAAGCATTTAGTGTGGTGAACATCATCTGGCAAGGAAAGATGGAAATCAAGAATATACACAAGTTTATAATTACTAGATGAGAGAAGATATCATTTACTACAAATCAGATTTAATTATGAATGCAATTGAAAATGGCCATCTACAATAGTTTCAGGAGATATTAGAATCATGGATTCCTAAAATAAATGGCCATTAAATTCCTACAGTAAAATATCCATGCTCATAAAGAAGGAAAAATAAGATATAACATGCAAAAAACTCAACAGTGGCATTACATCACAAAATTTACTATTTCTTAGACAACCTGACATATTTTATAAGACTGTTACAGAACACAGACTCCTAGGAAGTTTCTGAGGGTCAAGCAAATCAACAACTAACCCAAAGGAATATGCCATGATAACAAATACCAACCACCATATATTAGCCTAGAAACTTTGCCCAGGTCTTTGGACAGAAAATTGAAATGAGACATTTCAGACTAGATATGTGTCCTGGTCTATTACTCAAATTTCTTCAGAGGAAGTGTCAGTTTAAGACACTGCTATAGCTTCCTTTTTTTTTTTTTTAATTTTTGGCTGCATTGGGTCTTCATTGCTGCACACGGGCTTTCTCTAGTTGTGGTGAGCAGGGGCTACTCTTTGTTGTGGTGCGTGGGTTTCTCATTGTGGTGGCTTCTCTTGTTGCGGAACACGGGCTCTAGGCACACGGGCTTCAGTAGTTGTGGCACATGGGCTCAGTGTTGTGGCTCGCGGGCTGCAGAACGCAGGCTCAGTAGTTGTGATGCATGGGCTTTGCTGCTCTGTGGCATGTGGGATCTTCCCGGAGCAGGGCTCGAACCCGTGTTCCCTGCATTGGCAGGCAGATTCTTAACCACTGCGCCACCAAGGAAGTACTATAGCTTCTTCAAAGTAGTAAAAATGCTAAGATCTAAACCACTGATTATCACAGTAATTCATTTCTATATCACCATCAGCTCATCTACACATACTACTGAAAAGGAAGTTTCACAAAACAGTCCCTACTCTTACCACATGTGATTTCTATGATCTATTCTATTCTACTCTACTCTATTCTAGTCATCTCTTTAAAAAATAATGCTCATTTTTACCCAGTCACATTTTGAGACCTGTACATTGAAAAACTCTGGTCTAAAAAGGAAAAAAGTACTGGAATATGGAATTGCTTTATGTCTTATCACATGTAAACTATGAATACAAAATAAAACAAAACCACTTTAAAGCTATTGTTTCCTCTGTGAACTACAAGCCATATAACAGAAGCATGCTTTGTGTTACAAATGTGTGATGACATTCTACACAGTTGGCCAAATCTCTTGGGAAATGTGGATGGCAGCTAAGGGGCACCTCTGTCACAGCTCCTCCTTGACACATCCATTGCAAGTATCACTACCTGATCATTTCACTCTTATCCAGTAGGACTGGATGCCCCCTCAAAATTCTTCACAGAGCAGCCTTCCAGAGAGCAATCATCAATTGCTTACAAGCACTAAGTACCACTGCAGTCACTGGAGAATCCCTGCAACCAAATTCTCTGGAGTCTTGAAAATAGCAACAGACTCAATAGAAATGAAAATTTCATTATACTAAAATGACTGAAGTTTCCAATTAATTGTTCTGTACTCCTCCCATGGTAAAATATATGTCAAATTTAACTACAATATTATAAAAAATAATTTCTAACTTTCATTAAGGCTTGAATATTATTTTCTTCAAAGTTTAAACAGATAAAAATCCCTAAATGATACCTTTCATATATGGTATTATATAAATAATTTCTATTAAATATCCATCTGCCAAAATAATGTCAAAATTAATTTGGACAAGATTAATTTTCCAACTAGATTTCTTAAGGCCATAAAAATTAGATATTTCTTTAAATATCTGATGCATTCAGTAAGTTAAAGAAAGGAAATTTTTGTCATTCACCATTTTACCAAATGATCAAAATTTGTAAATTTATTCTTGGAACACCTCCTTTGAGTTATCTACGTAATCCAGAAATACATAACTATTTTGAGTAAATAACATACAAAACAAAATGTATAAAAAATTACTCTGCAAAAATGGTTAATAGTCTTGCTGCCTAAGGTATCCTACTACCTCCATTCCATTTTTTGATAAATAAGTTATTCAATAGGAAGTACAAAGTCAGTTAAATTTCTGTGAATACTTGATATATTAAAAAAGTTTGAAATAATGGGCTACTGTATATCTTGCCAATGGCATTTTACTCCACTTTGATGAGTGGATTTTTTTCAGTTTATGTTTAGAATTAAATATAAATCAGTTTTGACTGATTATTTTTTTTGAAAAATAGTAATGACTGTATATGGTGACTTCAAAAGTTGTCTTTCATCTCCACATGGCCTCTTTTAGGTTCAATGATAGAGAGTATTCCTTCATAAGTTGTCTAGTATTTTTCTCTTGATTGTACTTAAGGAATATTTTAGCTAACATAATGACTGTTTAAAGAAACTGCTTCCATTTCTCACAATCCTTTGTAGAGAGACCAAATTGGGTATATTTAATCCTGTGGAATATAGGTAAAGATTTTAAAGCATGAGAACATTCATAAGATGCTGAAATTTAGACTACTGAAAAAGTTTAAATACTCAGAGAAGTCTGGAATACTATTTTAAAATATGTACAAACAATTGAACTGAATTTTGTTAAGTTATAAACCTTTTCAGAGGGAATTTGACTGTGTTCATCTTAAAACAAATATAAAATACTTTCGGCATCTAAATACATGCTATATGTTTATTATTTTCTTAAAACAGAAGAAACATTTTGAGAGATTTAAAAACATAAATTAGATCAGGTCATTCCCTTCTTCACACCTCCTAGTGGCTTCTAATTGCACAAGGAATAAAAACTCTCATCTTGCCTTTTGAGGTCCTACAAGATGGTGTCCTATAGACACCTCTGATCGCAAATCATACCTTTACCATTTCTGTCCAAGCTCCAGCCTCACAAGCCTCTTTTCTGTTCCTGGAGTGCCTGGGCTCCTTCCTGGCAGGTCCCTTCCCACCAAGCTGATTTTGTCCCAAGGGCTTATACATTGGTTAGTCTCTCTACCTGGTTGTACTGCTTCAGTCTTTGTGTCATCCTCAATGAAACCTTGGACTATTTTCGTTTGTAGAATTAGTACTGTCTAAATTCATCTTGTCCATTTATTGTCATGGTAATGGGTTCACCTGGTGAACTAAACTTAGTGGAGTGTAATCTGAAAATGGTTTCTCTCCTCCACTGCTGCTCTCCAAACCAGGCAGGATCTCCCTTTCCCCACCCCTGTTGTTATCTTAGGATGGTTCGCAATGCTAGAGCAGTCTCACTGTCAGATATATAAAGAAAT